AAATCGGCTGCCGCGAAAACATGTAAAATAACAAGGTTGCGCAACATGAATTTGCATCACCAAAAAAATGTGCATTCGGGCTCTTGCGAATTCTTCCGGAAACCAAATGTTTCCAACATCTTCATAACTTGCTACTAAACGGGCCTTTCGCGCGCGCGTGTCGGAGTCGCTCGAACGCCCTAGCGCGCGTGCTGTCGCAAGAGTCCATTCCAGAAGATGGGACGACGCGCACCCTGGTAGAAGGAAACAATTCGTGGACACTCCCCCGCCCCCAAAACTCACAGTTGGCACGCGCGGGGACGACTGCGGTCGAAGTGCAGCTCATTCGACCAGTGCCAACATTGATCATTGGGGGAGACATTGACAGATGACCGCGGCGTGAGTGTTCGCGCAGTTATTCCGAGGCCTGTCGCGCGCGTCGTCGCGCGCGCATGTCGAACTCACTCACATACCTTCGCTTTCCCAAGGACTTCCGAGAGACAGAAAAACAAAACAAAAAAATGCCCCGAAAACATATACAACACACATGGAAAAAATGTCCAAACATATTTTGCTTCGAGCAATCCCCACCGAGACCTTCGGCGTTTGGTCCCAACGGTGCGCGCGCCTACTCGAAGGACGTGCGCAATGCCCGGCGGCGTCGGCCAGCGCGGCGGCTGGGCCAGGTTCGCAAGTTGATGTGTTCCGATTTCTACCAACCCCAAGGCCCCTGACGAGTACAAAACCAAACCCAAAACGCTTCTTGCGATACCTCAAAACTTGTTCTGAGATAGTATCACCCTCTGGTAAGAGGAAGAGGAGGAACAGCAGCAGCACCACGAGGAGGAGACGGACGACGAAGGACGAGGAGGAGGAGGAAAAAGGAGGTGAGGCGGACCTCTCCTTCCTCCTCCTGTTCCTCCTCATCGTCCTCGTTCCTCCCCCTCCTCCTCCTCCTCCTCCTCCTCCTCCTCCTCCTCCTCCGTTCCCTCCTCCTCGCCCTGTTCTTCGTCGTCCTCTTCCATCATCATGCGCCTCGCCCCCGCCCCCTCTTCCCCCTCGCCCTCGTCTTCTTCGCTCCCCCGAGCATGCGCGGGGCGCGCGGCGGCCCCGGGCGGAGCCCCCCAGGGCACGTGGGTATCCGACACCCATGGGTGCACGTTGGCTCACATCTGTCACCATATGGTTGGAGATGCTATGGTATGATCTGCGTTGCTGCACTATGTTATTGCATGATATGCTGACAGAATATGTTATAGTCTGCTCTGCTCCGTGATGCTGTTGACGGCTCGACTCAGTACATTATGTTATGATATGTTATTATTGTATGCTTCGCGATGCTCTGGTGCCGTGTCATGATATGTTATGTGATGCTGTGTCAGGATATGATGTGTCCTGTCATAGTGTGTTATGTTATGATATGGTGTATCAATGTTATGTGGTGTTATGGCGTCTTCTGTTCTATCATGGTATGCCCTGGTATGTCCTGTGATGTTGTGTTTGTGGACGGCTCGGCACAATATAATATATTATGACCTGCTATGCTAGTATGTGGCGATTTGCTACACTGTCGTGGTATGATATGTTCTGCGATGAAGCGCAATGATACGGGATGTTGTGTCAAGGTATCTTATTTATTGATCGGTTATGCTATGGTATGTTGTGTTATGTCGCCTTCTGTTCGACCATGCTATGATATGATGTGATATGTGGTGTTATGTCATGCTCTTGTGTCTCATGAGATTGCTATGTTATGCTCTGTCATGGTATGGCATCTTCGTGTTATGTTATGTTGTGTGATCTTCAGGTGTGGCATGTTGTGTTATGGCGTGTTCGCCGCTATGCTCTGCTGTCGTCTTATGATATGTTTGGTGACGCTGTGTCATGATATGATATGTTATGTAAATGCGTCTTTTGGTATGCTCGGCTCTGGTATAGTATGTTGTGTTCTGTCGCTTTATGTTCTGGATTGTTCTGCTCTGGTATGCTATGTGATATGCTGGTGTCCTCTGTTTTGTCTTGGAATTGATATGTTATGTTCTGCCATGTTCTGTCATGTTCTTGTTTTTTCTGTCATGTTCTGTTATGTCATATGTGTTCTGTCGTGTTTGTCAAGGGCGCGAAGCGGGATACATGGGATTCTCGGGACAACTTGGGGTCTGGCGGCCGCGGTATGCAGGGTGTGTTCTGTCGTGTTTGTCGAGGGCGCGAGGCGGGATAACCGGGACTCTCGGGACAACATGGGCTCCGGCGGCCGCGGCATGCAGGGTGTGTTCTCTCGTATTTGTCGAGGGCGCGAGGCGGGATAACCGGGACACTCAGGACAACTTGGGCTCTGGCGGCCGCGGTATGCAGGGTGGGAGTGGCCGGGAAGTCTGTGTTAAAAAACTAACGACCCCAACCTGCCGTGGGGAAAACCGGCGCTTGCGGTCTTGCAGGTTCTTAAGAAGACCATGGGGCTTCTGTTAAATACATGTTCATCAAATTCTGCCGAACGGGCCTCTCGCGCCGCATGTCAAAATCATTCGAAAGCCCTTGCGCGCGTGCTTCGGGGGAGGGCACGATCCGTGTCAAATAATACCACGCGGGCCACTCACGCGCGTCGGCCGCGCGCGCACGTCGAACTCCTTCAAAAACTTGCATCGCCGACGCGAGGACATCGTCATCATTATCGGCGGGCGTGATCAACATCGGCGCCGTCATTGGTTTTGCCGTCGTCATCGCCACCATCGTCACCATCATCGCTACTTAGCACTCTCATAATCGTGTCCACCGTTGTCGGTGTCGCCAACGGCGCCCGCCCAAGTCACCGACTCGTACTGGAATACCCGCTGGGATGCGCCCAGCGGTCAGCGCCACCGCGGCCGCGTCGGTCGCGCCAAACTAGCTCGCCGCTGTGCGCGCGAGCATGCGCGGGCTAGCGCGGCCGCACAAAGATGCACCAGCCAACGCCAAGCACCCCTCGCAATCGCCGCATGGGTTTTGCAAACCAAGTTGCGGGTGGGTGGGCTGGATGATTGTAAGAGCATGGAATGTACCAACTCGTTGTTGTACCAAAAAAACTTGCACCACCTATAATCTCCTTTTCTAAATGAGAATAGACTCTACCCCCCCCCTGAATTATCGATCCCCCTTTTCGTATTGCAATTTACACATCATTCTGCCCCATCGTCCATTCCACCTGTGAATTCATACTATCCTCGCCAAGCCGGTATCGACCCCCCCCGCCATCCAATGCAAAAAACTATGCGCGCACACTCGTTTATCAAAAATCAAAAATTTGCCCGAATCCCTTGCAAAAAACAGGACGAAGTGCACACGCGCGCGTCGTCGCGCGCGCATGCCGAAATCCTTCAAAAACTCCCGGTTTCGGAAGGATTTCAAAATCGAGTTCCCCAAAAAAACATCCAAAAACACAGGGTTTCGCAACACTGATGTTATAACAAAACTTACACGCGCGCTCTTGCAAAATCTTCCGAAAACCATAAGTTGTTCAACAGCTTCAAAAAATACTACCAATCGGGCTTCGCGCGCGCGCATGTCGAAATCGTTCGATCGCCCTTGCGCGCGTGCCGTCGCGAGAATCCTCCGCAAAAAACTGGACGAAGTGCACGCGCGCGCGTCGTCGCGCGCGCACACCGAAATCCTTCAAAAGCCTTCGGTTTCGAAAGGATTTCAAAATCGAGTGCCCAAAAAACATGCAAAAAAAACACAGGGTCTCGCAAAACGGATTTTCAACACAAGCGTGCGCGCGCGCGCTCTTGCATCGTCGTCGTCGTCGTCGTCGCCGTCCTCCCTCCTCCCTCGTCGTCGTCGTCGTCGTCGTCCTCGTCCTCTTTGGCGTCGTCGTCGTTTCCGCCGTCGTTGCCGCCGTGGTCGTCCTTTCCCCTCCCTCGTCGTCGTCGTCGTCCGTCGTCGGCGTCTCGTCGTCGTCCCTCCTATTTCGTCGCCGTCGTCGTCGTCGTCTTCCCTCCTCCCTCGTCGTTGTCGTCGTCGGCGTCGCCGTCCTCCTTCCTTCTTCGTCGTTCGCGTCGTCGCCGTCCTCACTCCTCCCTCGTCGTTGTCGTCGTTGTCGCCGTCGTCCTCCTCCCTCCTCCCTCATCGTCGTCGTCGTCGTCGGCGTCGGCGACGTCGTCGTCTTCTTCGTCGTCGTCGTCGGCGTCGGCGTCGTCTTCGTCGTCGGCGTCGACGTCGTCTTCGTCGTCGTCGTCGTCCTTGTCGTCGGCGTCGTCGTCGCCGTCGTCGTCGTCGGCGTCGTCATCGTCGTCGGCGTCGGCGTCATCGTCGTCGTCGTCGGCGAAATCGTCGGAGACGTCGTCGATGTCGTCGTAGCCGTCGTCGGCGTAGTCGTCGTGGTCGTGGTCGGCGTCGTCTTCGTCGTCGGCGTCGACGTCGTCTTCGTCGTCGTCGTCGTCCTTGTCGTCGGCGTCGTCGTCGCCGTCGTCGTCGTCGGCGTCGTCATCGTCGTCGGCGTCGGCGCCATCGTCGTCGTCGTCGGTGTCGACGTCGTCGTCGTCGTCGTCGTTGTCGTCGTCGGCGAAATCGTCGGAGACGTCGTCAATGTCGTCGTAGTCGTCGTCGGCGTAGTCGTCGTGGTCGTTGTCGCTGTCGTCGTCGGCGTCGCTGTCGTCGCCAAGTGCCATTTGATACCCAGTCACGGTCTTAAGAAGTCTTGCGACCAAGTTGCGGGTGGGAGGGTGGGATGTTTGCACGAGCAGTGGAGAGGACAGCTTCCAGACAGCCAAAGTGAATTGCACCATATAGATTGCAACACATAGATTGCACTACAAAGCTTACACCACGTAGATCACACCAAGTAGATTCAGTAGACTGCACTGCATGGATTACAAAAGTACAGCTCACACCACATAGGTTGCACCACGTAGGTTGCACCACAGATCTTCTAACACGTAGCTTGCACCACGTAGCTTGCATCACATATATTGCATCACCGAGTATTCTAGAACACACTGTTTGGGCTCCATGCTGGTTCACCTTGCCTCTTCGAGAAAAGCGGGCACCTGATGTTGCCCTTCCCGACAGACGTGCGGTACATGATGAAGGGAAGCGACAGCACGACGAAGATCCCCAGCATGTTCACGTAGTGCGCCTGCCATGCGTACAGGAACGCGACCTGCCCCGGTCAACCCTGCTGGAATGCTCCGGGGCCCCTTGAACCAGGACACTGCTGACCAGGACTTTGAAAATGCCACCTGCAGAAGACGAAGAATGGAGAACGTTGCGACTCACGGCTGCAGCTTTCTCGGGCGCGCCAACGCCCTGGTTCATCGAAGCCCCCCGTTAAGGGGGCCCTGAAATGCACAGCGCCCCGACGCCCTGGACGACGCTGCTCTCATCGCTCGATCTCGGCGGCGTCCGCCACGCGGGTGGCGGGCACGAGGACGTCGGCGCAGATCAAAGAGGTGGCGACATCCGAACCCTACCCCCACCAACCATCGACTCTCCTGAACCGATGGGAGTCGGGGGCAGGGCATCGGATTTCGCCACGTGTTCGACGAACTCCGAACCCTACCCCCGGCGCCCATCGAATTGACAAAGTCGTTGATCAGCGAGGGTAGGGTTCCGAGTTCGCCTAAGGGGAAGTGAGAAGGAGAAGGCCTTCTCAGAACGCTCAGAAGTCCCCCAGCTTTCTGAGAAGCTTTCTAAGCCTTTCCGAAAGACACAAAAACCTCTCAGAAGGCGCGAGGGCTTCTGAGAAGTCCCGCCACCTTCTGAGAAGGCCTTCTCCGTCTCACTCCCCCCCCTCGCTCGCCGCCAAAGTACGCCGCCGATCAAAGAGACACGAGCGGGAGCGGTATTTGTTCGTTTCCCCCCTCGGGGCTGCGACACGCGACCCCGCGGATACGGAGGCGTGTGCTGCCGACGACGACGAAACGTGTGAGGCGTGTGCCGAAAAGGGGGTGACGCCCAAATGGGAACGGTGCCACTGGGGCCCTAAACGGAGCTGCCTATGGGCCATGGCACGTGTGAGGGGTGTGCCGAAACGGGGGTAACGATCAAGATGATTATGATGATGATGATGATGATGATGATGATGATGATGACGATGCTGATGCTGATGCTGATGCTGATGCTGATGCTGATGCTGATGCTGATGATAATGACGATGCGGTTGATGATGATAATGATGATGATGATAATGATGATGCTAATGATGATGATGATGATGATGATGATGCTGATGATGATGATGATGGTGGTGGCGTTGCTGATGATGTCGACGATGATGATGATGATGGTAATGATGATCATGGTGCTGATGATGATGCTGATGGTGGTGATAATGATGATGATGATAATAATGATGATAATGCTGGTGCTGATCATGATGTTGATGATGATGATGCTGGTGCGAATGATGATGATGAGAATGATTATGATTATGATTATGATTACGATGATGATGATCATGATGATGATGATGATGGTACTGATGATGATGATGATGACAATGATGATGATGGTACTGATGCTGATAATGATGATAGCCATGATGATGATGATGATGATGATGAGTATGATGATGATGAGGATGCTGCTGATGATGATGCTGGTGCTGCTGCTGCTGCTACATGCTATGAACGAGCCTGGCTCCAGCATACGGAGACGCGCAGACGCCACTAATACTCTACAGAACTACACGCTTTGCAGACTCCCCTAACTTAAAGAGTACCCACTCAGTTTCCCGCCTCCTCCAGCTCATTCGGTCCTGCGCTAACTCATGCCAGTCCTCCCCCTTGTCGAAGTAGTAGTGTCTAACGAAGGAATACTCATACACACACCAATTGCTAAACCTCACGAATCCTTGAAGCCTCGCACTGCGACCCACTGCTACATGATGATACCTATTCCAATTCACCACTCTGCTTTGTATGGTCTCGGGCTCCCTGCTGCAAAGACGAGCAAGATGGCCAACATATCGATGCTGACGCCGCAAAGCTTGCACATCGAGGTCGGGGATTTGCTGGGCAAACTTTTGAGCTCGCAGTTCACGATGGAGCCTCTGGCAATATGTTTTATCACATTCATGCCAGAGACGAGGAAGATGAAAATGTTCACTGAGAAATTTATTTTGACGCCCTCGAAGTGCCAGAAGGTCCCCCTGGCCCATTGTCCAGCAGGGAGCGGCCCACAGTGCGTTGGAGCTGATGAGCCTGGAGATGAGTTCCATTCTCCTCGAACGGCCTGCCCCACGGTACACTAAGAGATCCTTATTGGCCCGCACTGCAGATGTCATAGACCCGATTTTCTTCTTAGTATCGATGTGCGTTTGTCCCCGAGAAGTCATCCACACCCCCGTGATCTTTAACGAGCCCCCCTCCTCGATCATCTCAGTGCCTGGCCACGGATTCCCCTGGTAAATCTGTTGCGCCATAAAAGAAACTCGGTCCAGAGGAAGGTCCCAGCCAAATCCACGGAGAGAATCCAGGAGAAGCTGATAAATACGTTTCGCCTGAAGATGGTTATGGCACAACACAAAGATGTTGTCGCTCCACACTAGGAAGGGCAGGTAGAGCGACACGCAGTCCGAGCACTTCCTCCTGGCGTGCACGGAGCAAGGGAGCACCGAAGTCATGGCGATGCCGAGGCGCTCGCGCTGGCACAGGTCCCACACAGGCTGTAAACAGTCCGCGAGGGTCCAGCAGAAGAACTTGGGGCCCCACTTGGTACCTTGAGGAATCCCACGGGTAGTTTGAGGTATTTCAGCTTCATGTTCGTTTAGTTTAGCTTTGAAGTGGAAGGACCTCATGTGCCTCAAGAACCACGCGCACACACTTTCACTGACTCCTCGTTTAAGCAGTGCCTCCAGCACTCGGGCATGTCGGACAAAATCAAAAGCTTTGGGGATATCCATGCTGGCAAGGATAAATTGCACCCCCATCTGCATACACTTCTGGGCAATCATGGCGAGCACCAGGACCAAATCACAAACGCTGTACCCCTCCCTGTACGCATGCTGCCAGTCGCATGGAAAATCCCCGATCTGCGTCTCTGCATATTCCAGCATGGCTCCACCAATGGCGTTGGCAAGCACCGGCAGTACAGCAATAGGCCTGAGCACCGTGTACCAGGCTATCAACGACTGCTTAGGGAGCAGGGCAAGCTCGGACAGGATGATCTGATCAGACCTGCTTCTACAAAGTCGTGATTTTTGTCGGACCATGTGCCAGGGAACATCTTCAGTATAAAGCCTCCAACGTTTTTCCTCCCTTTCAAAATCGTAAACATGCCTCGAGAAACCTCCCTGGAGATCCTTGTCTATGGCCCGTTTGATGGTATACAGCGGGTGCTCCACGAAAAACTGCTTGTCAGGAAGCCAAACCTCGCAAGAGTGAACCTTCGGTGTTTCGACGTCCTCGCCGTCAGTCATACATATAGAACAGCTGTGGCAAAAACCGTAGTGGTGACTAGAAACACATTCATGATGATCCATAGCTTGATTAGCTAACCAGTCGGCGATGACGTTCAAGCATCTGCGAACATGGCGAAGCCGAACGCGATTGAAGCTGGCCAGGAGAGCGTTGACAACCGTTAAATACTTCAGGACCCTGTTTTCGAACACCATCCACTTCCCACCCGTTTGATAAATTACGCTGATGTTATCCCCCTCCACCACTAGGTCCTCAACGCCGTACAGCAGCGCGGTCTCGAGACCGAAGATTAAACCGTGCCACTCTGCGTCATCCGACGTGGCGCCTGCAGTCAGGCGGTGGCTGAAGTGCGTGATCATGTTTCCCTCGGGCTCAAAGATTGCAAAGCCGATGCCAGAGACCTCCGAACTCCTCCTGCCCCCATCGAACTGCAGCAGATGACTACGTCCATACTCTCCTGGTCCCCTAGCTCGGAGTCCTCCCCCAGGGTCTTCATCATTTAAAATCTCGGGGGCGCCCGCGGAAACCTGCTGGCCCACCGTGACAAGCGTGCGCAGCATCTCGCCAACGACTCCGTCGCTGGTACAGGACTTGCCGCTCTGGAGACTGGCGCAGCTAGAGAGAAGACAGGAAATGGGGATCTCATCATCAAACTCGTCATAAATCCATTCAGGTATCTTAGAGACCTCCTGCTCGTGCACGGGTTCGTGAAAGAGCTTAGTGTAGAACTCCCCCATGTCCTCTCTGATGTGCTGGGCCTGATTCCTACTGGCACCTGTGGCGGGATCTCTCAGGCAATAGTGGCAGCTTTGCTCTTGTCGTTTCTTGCCCCATCCCCCCTTGCGGAGATTGCTCAGGACAGACGTGGCTTTAGCCTCTTTCGACAGCTCCAAAAGCCTATGCCGTTCCCTCCACACCTCACGACTCAATCTAATCTTCTCTAGCCTGTTTCCCGCTTGGCGCCATTGAAACTCAAGCTGGTGAAGGTGATGCCGATCAAGCCGTGCTTGGCATCGCCTAGACATTGAAACCCCGCACTGGCTACCTGCATGACCGATCGCATTCGACATGTCCTGGATCGCCTGATTCGGGTCGATCGTCGCGGCAATATTCTCGATGAACTTTTCGGGATGATCGATCTTCCAGTTTAGAGGCTTTCGGGTCCCCCATTTCCTTTGGTGTTCGCAAGCGATGTTAATTACAATAGGCCTATGGTCCGTGTTTGTACAAGTAGTCTCCGATACCCTAATATTTCGAAACCTACCACGCCTTGATATCTGAGTAATAACATGATCGATCTGAGTTAGCGTACCAGTAGAGTAGCTGAAGCAAGTCCCTGACTGAACTCCCTCGAAGAAAGTGCTGACGACAGACAGTTCGTTTTCCAGACAGTGTTTTAGAATATGCCCCCCCCTCTCGTTCCTGGACCCCTTGGAGAAGTACCCAATCACATCCGACTCGACGTTGTGCAAACTCTCGCCGAACTCGCAATTCGAATCGACCGACAAAACTAAAATCTCAGAGTCACGCAGCTCGGAGATGACATGCTTGAAAACTTCATTCGCCCGCTCGAAGAAGTCCTCATCGGAGTGCTTCTGCGGGAGGTATCCTGAGGCTAAACAAAACTTGGCCGAACCGACACTGAGGTGAGCAACCATCACCCTGGAGTCACCGTTGACTCTAGGCTGCTCGAGACCAGCGGCGTGGCGCCTGTGGATGACGATGGCGCAGCCCCTGACCCCGCCCTGGCACGGCGAGGCAAGGATGGTGTGGCCGTCCACGTCGAAGATGCCCCCATCCCCTACCGTGGTGAACTCCTGGAGAAGAAGTACATCCCACACAAACTCCATATATTGAAGCATGAATGCATACTCAGCTGCAGAAACCCCACTACAGTTGAGAGCAACAACATTCAGGTCGCGAGTGTTCCTCATGCCGTACCCCTGCCTTCTGGTTCCACAAATGTTACCCACGCTTCTCCCTCTGCTGGGTGTTCCAGTCGTTCACCCTCTTGATGACCGCCCTCTCGAAGTCCGCGTCAGTCCACTGGCCCTTGAGCTCCTCTGGGAGGTTCCTCTGGCACAGCTTGATGTCCTGCGAGTTGCGGTCGATGTAGGCCAGCAGCACTTTGCGCTGGGTGTCGATGACCTTCAGATTGCCCCCCAGCGTGCGCATGGAGAGGTCGCCCTTCTTGGACTTGAGCTCCTCCGCGATCTTGAGCAGTTTCGTGTAGCGCTGCCTCTCATCGTAAGTATTATGCTTCTTAATCCACAACTTTTTAGTGATTCCATTCACGGTATAGATGGCCTTACCCGAGTCGTCTCCCTGAAGATTGTCCTCCTTTGACTTCTTCTGATGCTTCTTGATCACTTCCCACATCTTAGCGGGGCCACTGAGAGTCACCGTGGCGTGGTTGCCAGGGTTGCTGAACCAGGTGGACTTCACATCAGTGATGACGCACTCCAAGATCATGTCCACGAAGGGCTGCATCTCGTCCTGCTCTGAGTAGGCCTCGAAACCACCTATGACCAACTTCGCGGTGGACTCCTCAGCTCCTCCTCCTTGAAGTACTGACCGAAGGCCTGGAGGAACATCTGTTGACCCATTCGAAGATGCCGCCCTCGAAGTGCCGATCTTTTTCGCCTCCTCCGCGGCCGCGAGTGCCTTCTCAGCGGTGACAAGAGCTTTGTCGGCAGCCGTCTTGATGTGCACCTGCTCTTCCTTGATTTCCTTGATGTCATTGGTGACCTTACCCATCTGTCTTTTAGTGTGTCGATTGCTCTTCTTCAGCTGCTTCATGATGTCAGCAAGCGTCACCGCGTTACCCGAGTCATCATCAGCTCGGGAGTCCTCACTATCACTGTCCAGATTCATGTCGTCTACCTCGATCTGTCTGCGCTTGGCCATGGCAGCCAGGCGGCCCACAGCTGGGAATTGCTGGGCGTGAGCTCAAAAGCCGTCGGCGCAGCCAGCTCAAGGAAAGCGCTCCTGAAGCTAAAAAGTTTGCTCCAGGAAGATGATGACGACAATGATGATGGTGGTGGTGGTGATGATGATGGTGATGCTGATGATATGCGAAGAGCAGAGGCAGGGATGGGAGGAGGGAGGAGGAGGAGGAGGAGGAGGTGGAGAATTAGGGGGAGGAGGAGGAGGAGGAGGAGGAGGAGGAGGAGGAGGAGGAGGAGGAGGGGGAGGAGGAGGAGGAGGGGGGGGGAGGAGGAGGAGGAGGAGGAGGAGGAGGAGGAGGAGGAGGAGGAGGAGGAGGAGGGGGCGCAGCGGTCCGCGCCTGCCCCGGAAGGCGTCCACGACAGCGGGGGGGAACGCATGGTCCAACAGCGTGGCCAAACTCTGCCCAGACGTTCGGCCACGTGGGCGTATCCTCAGTGGCACGGGGCGGCGGTGATTCGCCGTAGGCGTCTTCGATTGAGAGAAATGCCCGTTTACAACACTGATACATTGAACACATGCTATGGCGTTCTCGGAACTGCGTCACGCCCGCTTCGCTACTCACGCAGCACCGCGCCTTTGCATAGAGGGGTAAACATCCGCCGCCGTGCCCAGGCGCGGTAGAATGCCAAGGACAGTTTGGAGGGGCTTATGTAATCAAACGGATCCCCCCCACACACGCATCACATCCATCCTGCATGCACCGCCCCCCACCCTCTTCAGTTGAAAAAATGTGGGCCCGCGCTCCCTAGACCACAAAACAGAACCAACAACAAAAAACAAGCAAAAAACACTGAATGTGCATGCACCCCCCACCTGGGTCTATCCCCGTCCTGGGTCGTTGTCGGGCCTTACCTCGAGACTCCTGCGGCCGTTCGGGGCGATCTAGGCAGCCCCAGAACGCTCTCAGCGAGGCGCAGCCTGCTGGAGAGCACCCCGAGGCTGGAGAACCGCCGAGATCCGACGAAAAATAACGAAAGCCTCGAACCTCGAACCTCGAACCTCGAACCTCGAGCCTGCCGCTTCCAGCCCTGAGCCTGGCGAGGGGGGCGGTGCTATGCGGGGGGGGGCCGGAGGGGGAGCGGCCTCCTCCCCGTAGTGCCAACGGGCGATGTCCAGGAACCGCCCCCCGCGGTCGAGCCGCAGCATGCTGCACAGGCCGCCCTGGCAGCGCCCCCGCGTGACGTTGAACCTCGGGCAGCACGCGCAGATCCCCCTCCTCCTCCTCCTCCTCCTCCTCCTCCTCCTCCTCCTCCTCCTCCTCCTCCTCCTCCTCCTCCTCCTCCTGGCGTCGCAAGTCTTCCGCACTGGGCGGTGTCGCCCGCTTTCGGGCCCTGGGGCCCTTCACAGATCGATCCGGCCAGAAAAACGGCGCAGACAAACGGGGCCCCCGGCTCTGGTCGCGACACTCTTCGGCGGCGCGCCCCGGGGGGAAGCGAGAATGGGCGGGCCTTCTCACAAGGCTCGGAAGTCCCCTGGCCTTCTGAGAATCCCGCAGACAGAAAAACCTCTCAAAGGCCAGAGGGCTGCTGAGAAGTCCCGCCGTCTGAGAAGGCCTTCTCCCTCCCACTTCGCCCCCTCGCTCGCCACCGATCTCTGCGATACTGCAACTGTTCCGTGACGTCGGATCTCAGGGGAGGCCAAGCCGCGGCGACTGGGCGCCGCGCGCGATCAGGCGGCTGACGAGGGGGTCGTGCAGCGGCCACACGCGGGCCCCCGGCACGGCCTCTGCGCTCGGACGGGATGCGGCGCGCCAGCTGCCCGCGAAAACCCGGCCGGCCCCGTCGGCCTCTCACTCACTCTCCCGCGGCCGCTCCTCCCCCCCCCCTTTTCCTTCGCGCCACCGGCCAATGCGCAATGCCGTCACCCGGCTTGCCCGAGCGCGCGTGCGGACTGCCTCAGCCGCGCTGCGACGCAAAAAGGGCGTGAAAGGCTTGGGCGGCCGCGTCAACCCGAAGGGGCGGCGCCAGCCGCCCGAAGCGCACACCAATCCGGGGAGACCGAGCAAGATCGCAGTTGCGTCTGAGGAGAGGCCCCTTCTCGTTGATCCCTTCCCCGCCGGGGAGGGTGGGTGGGTGGTGTGGGGTGAACGGGGGTGGGGGTGAACGGGGGGGGGGGGGGCGGGGGCGGGGAGAGCCCCCCACCCCGCTCCGAGTAAACTCGAAGTTCGCGCGGGTGACATCTTCCAGGGCCGGCGGAACCGGCCGCAAGGCCTTCGCAATGCAGCAGGCACGCACGGTAAGAATTGTCTTAGGCAGCATTGTGATGGGCCCATTTTCCACCACCATTACCATGTGTAGGAGGGGGGGAAGGAGGAGAAGGAGGAGGAGAAGGAGGAGGAGGAGGAGCAGAAGGAGGAGGAGGAGGAGGAGGACCTCCTCATCCTCCCTTCTCCCCCCGTCCTACATATGGTGGTGGTGGTGAAAAACTGGCCCATCACATTGAGGACCGTTTCATGAACCATTCACTTCGAATCACACGAGCGCCTCGCTGTCACGCCCCAGTACGACAAAAGATCTTGATATAGGAGATCTGGGGGCACGCTCGTCGTCGAGCCGTGAGCTTGCCGAGGCGCCGCAGAACTTGTGTGGGTCCCCGAGGCCAGTCGGGGGATCAGAACCTTCAGTGGGGTGCCTTGGCGTCACTGCTGAATCGCCGGGGCACGGCCGGGCAGTACATTTGTCGGGCCCTCGTCCTCCCCAGGCATGCTGCGCGTCGAGACACGATTCGTGACGGGCGGCTTCTGGCCGTCTTCGGCCTCGGGGGGGCCCTCGCAGGACCCCAGGACAGGGACAGTCGAGAGACGACTCGTGGTGGAAAGCTGGCCCTGGGGAAAGGGCTGGGGCTTCCAGAGACCCCGCTTTCTGGAAAAAACGGTGACATCGGATGCCTGGGACCCGCCCCCAGGTCCACCCGACTTGGCGCACCGCGCCCCACAGGACGAAGCCAGGACCGCGACAAAATCGGCCCGGGCCAACTCGGGGATCGACGCTGAGATCTGGCGGCTCTGGAGCTCTGAAGGGTGTATCGGGCGCCGCGGCCGCTCCAGAGCGCTCTGGCACGCTCAGAACGCTCTGGACCGATTCGTTTTTTTCGGACGCCTCATGCCTTGCACTACGACAGGCCAACAACCACGAAGCACTGGTAAAACACGAAGTACAGCTGTGAATCCGTCGACCCCTTGGGGTCATCGGCGTGTGAGATGCTTCCCCCTCCCCGAACCCCTCCCCCGCGGGGCCCGGTCGGTTTGGGTTTGGAGGGGGGGGGGTCCAGCCGGCCCCAGCTGAACGCGTCACGGACCTCACGACGGGCCATGAGGGCCACAAGAGGCCCACAAGATGGTCCAAGAGGGCCCCGAGTCGCCGATGGATCGTTCCAAGACGCCCAAGATGGCCCCCAGACGGCCCAAGAGGCCCCCGAGACGCCCCGAAAGGCTCCCAAGAGGCGGAGGGCCCCCAGAAGCAAAACTCGTCCCATCCCCTTAGGGAAACGTATGATTCTAGCACATGCGCCTCTTGGGCTTTCACAACGTCCAAGACGTCCCAAGAGGCCTCCAAGATCGCCCCAAGGCCCGAGACGGCCCAGGAAGCCCCCAAGAAGGCTCCAACACATCCCAAGAGGGCCCCCAAGACGGCCCAAGAAGCCCCCAAGACGGCTCCAGGAGGGGGCCCAGGCGGGGGACCCGAACGGAAATTTCGAGCCCTCGGCCCCAAGAAGCCCCAAGAGGCCCCCAAGAAGACCCCAAGAGGCTCTAAGAGGCCCACCAGAAGCCCAAAAAAGGCCCCAATGAGCCCCAAAACGGCCCCCAAAAGGCTTCAAAAGTGATGCCAGGAGGCCCCCAGGAGACCTACCAGGAGCCCCCCACGGGATGGGCGGTGCGGCGTAAGCCCAAGAATCAACCGAGCACGCTTGGCAAGGCCGGATGGGCAAGTGAGTTGGGTGAGGCAAATGTCACTGCACCGACCTTGCAGATGTGCTCCAGCGGATTTTTGCGCGGTTCTCTGTCAATGTCAGGTCAGGTCAGGTCACGCCCGTGCGCCGGAAGGCGAGCCCATGAAGGGCGCAGGTGGTGGAAATCGGCAGCGTGCAATACACGCGCGCGCGCCACATTTAAGGAAAACAGTACGTGCGTCTTTTTGTATAAAATAATAGTATGTATATATATATATAAACAAAAAACAAACAAAACAAACAAAAAAAAAAAAGGACTCATTCACCTGGCCTATCGTTGTGGTGGTGCGCTCGAGCGTGAAGCAGATATTTAGGTAGCAGAGTCAGACAGCACGGCGTTCGCACAATGTTTGCCCCTCTGTTGCTTTGGATCAAGACGCGGAGTGGAGAGAAGACATACTCCCTCACATGTTCAATGATAATGGCAGCAAAAGTGTTGAAACTCCGCGGCTCGCTCCTGAAAAATCTGGGGACCAAGAACGCCATCGAGAGCCAACCACGCGGCCGAAAGCTTCCAATTTGCTTGTCCATGTAAGAGTCGGCCGCCCTGCTGCACGATGACCGCGCGGTGACCAATTCAAACTCTGACGATGTACCTTATCTCTGGTAGCTGCTGAACATATAGTACAAACGACAAATACTGTCAATGTAAAACCCGAAACGGCGAGCGAAAAACGAAATAAACTTCACATGGATTTTTGTTGAGTCTTCATTCCTGGCCAAACAAAAAACAATCCGCACGAAATTTACTCCGAAATCCGGAACGCAATTCTCCAGGACAGTCCGGGCCCATCCGATCGTTTTCCGAGCGAGGTCCGCTCTGCGATGTTGGCGCCATGACAAACGAGTTGGGTGACATAACCGATGCGCCCCAGCCCTAGCGTTAGGTCGGGCATGTCCCCCTACAGGCGGATTTTGGGCGAGAAATTAAACATACCCCACAAATATTCAAATATATGACAAATGTCAGAAAATTCGTCCCGGGACTATTTTTTGACTGCTTTCGTCTATTCCTCCTGTAGAGGGACACGCCCGACTTCCCCCCAGCGCCGCCCGACAGCTCCGCTCTCGCAGCTCCAGCCGCGCCCTCGCGCGCCTCGCCGGCGAGCGGAGCGCGGCCTCCTTCGCGCCCTCGCGCCCCCCCGATCGAAAGGACTATCAAGCCTGCTCGGGTGCTGATGTGCTTTGTGTGCCAAGCGCAGGTAGCTTTCGCCCTCCAGGGGCTCTTCAGCCGAAATGGCACTGCGCAGAAGCATCGGATGAAACTGTACACGCGAGCGACCTGTCTTCCGGGCAGGGCGCCTCTGCCGGCAGAGGGCGCGGCCCGCGGACATCCCCACGGCCCCGCGGGAGGCCAGGCTTCCCCCGCCGCCCTTCCCAACCATCCTGTGGTGCTGGGTCCTCGCTTGGAAGAGACAGCGCCCGCGGCCTCTCCTCCTCCCCCTCCTCCCCCTCCCCCTCCTCCTCCTCCTCCTCCTCCTCCTCCTCCTCCCTCCTCCTCCTCCTCCTCCTCCTCCTCCTCCCTCCTCCCTCCTCCTCCTCCTCCTCCTCCTCCTCCTCCCCTCCTCCCCCTCCCCCTCCTCCTCCCTCCTCCTCCTCCTCCTCCTCCTCCTCCTCCTCCTCCTCCTCCCCCTCCTCCTCCTCCTCCTCCCTCCTCCTCCTCCTCCTCCTCCTCCTCCTCCTCCTCCTCCTCCTCCTCCTCCTCCTCCTCCCTCCTCCTCCTCCTACCCCTCCTCCTCCTCCCACTCATCCTCCTCCTCGCTCCTCGCTCCTCGCTCCTCCCATCCCTGCATCTACCCTCCACATGTCAGCCATTTCAGCACACCTCTCACGCGCTTCGTGGCCCCATAGCGAGCTCCACCGAAGGCCCCAGAGTGAGCGTTCGCATGAGGGCGTCACGTCCGTCTCGACGCACCCCTCACACGTTTCGTGGCCCCAGAAGGAGCTACACCGAAGGCCCCAGAAGGAGCGTTCGCATGCGGCCCCCACCCCCCCCACCCGCTTTCGGCATGCCTCTCGAGCGCTTCGTTCGCATGCGGCCCCCACCCCCCCCACCCGCTTTCGGCATGCCTCTCGAGCGCTTCGTGCCCCATAGGGAAATCCACCCAAGACCACACTTACAGCTGCGGTACTCACAACTGCATTTGGTTGGGCCAGTCGCTGGGATACTTGTGTTGAGGAGGAGGAGGAGGAGGAGGAGGAGGAGGAGAAGGAGGAGGAGGAGCAGGAGGGGAAAGTAGGGAGCGCGACCAGAGCGCCACCCGACTCGGCCTCGACGGTTGTGCGAATCAAACGGTCACCATGCCAACCGGGAACACCGAGGTGGTGAAGTCAGAGCGCGTGTGAGCGTCAAGGTGTGCTTGTCGACCGAAGCCCCTCAATGCGACGCAGAGGGTGCATCGAGGGCCGACGCAGGCTGAGCGGGGTAAACATACACTGGGATAGCACACATCCTGAGGATCGTCGATGCTGGTGGTGGAAGACCCGCGTCAAGGCTCATTCAAGGCTCAGGCCAGTCTCAGAGTGAGCACCGACCTGGCGGAGGCCGACTGCATGTGGGATCGGGGATGCCCAAAGAAGGGAGCTGGACGTCCAGGGCGAGGTGATCCGTCAGGCGATGGTGACAAAGAGAAACCTGCTAAGGCCGTGCCTGGGAGACTGAAACACCTTTGACTACCCCTGGCCTTGCAGCTGACCAGCCAAAAACGAGGGAGAAAGAGAGAGAGAGAGAGAGAACAGAGAGCGGGAGCGGGCGAACAGAGAGATGAAGCCAGGATTCGTTGAGCAGATATAGGAGCCCAAGTTGTGAAAGACCCGATCCTACCACATTGCCAGCGGAGTGGCTGGCGCAGGGCCAGCACAAGAAGCTGACGCCCAGGCAGGCGAGATCAACCTGCCGTCTGATCGCGGAGGCTCACAGCTTGGCCCCAGAAAACAGGCGATGGCGTGTCAGCCGCGCCACATAACAGGGCACGCATTCTACCAAGTGCATATGCGCACTTGTCGGGATCGTTCGATGAGGTTGGCATGGGGGGCCACGAGCGAACGACCACCGCTGCGGGCAACGTCTGGGCCCAGCTACGACCAGGTGGGTAAGACTGTGGCCTCCGGAGTCTGGCGTGTCTGCTTTGCGTACGAGTTGTCCTTCGGCATGGAAAGGGAGACTCGTGGCAACCTGGCACGAGCCGGACCAAGGCCACGTTGGATGAGCTGCCAGAGAGCTGCGAGGTGGACCGTGATGCGCTCGCGGTGCGCATCGCGTGAGCCATCGATGGTAAGGCCCTGGGAGCAGGCCACAAACCAAATGGAGCGCTCCCGGGCACATGTGAGCCAAACGGTGTAGAAGATGCAGCGCAGAAGCTGGGACTCGCAGGAGTCGGAGCTGCGTGGCGGCGCCCCCGACGAGGGTCGAAAACCCGCAGGTCGCTTGGGAGACCAAGAGGCCAGGCAGCCTGCCAGAGCTGAGACTGGGCAAGGGCAGGCGAGGCTACCGATCTGGCGGACGGACTGGCTTGCTGCAACGTCCGGCCGGCCGAGGAAGACCCGAGCCTCCAGGACGAGGCGTGCAGAGTTCAGCCATCGGGAGGTGGAACCACAAGTGCGGCGGCACGGACACGGTGGTGGTCGGGAAGCCGAGCAATCCTTCGACAAGGCCGAATCTGCAGCCTTGGCCAAAGTCGCCGAGGTGCGAGCACGGGCGGGATGAGATGCTGATTGCTGTGGACAGCGGGTCTGAAAGATCTCGGCAGCGGGACCGACATAGAATCGTAGGAAGTTTCCAAGTGGGCGAAGCCTATGGAGGGAAACAGGGGGAGAAGACAAAGGCATGATATAATAATACGTAATGTATGTGTATATACCTACACAGTGAGAGGGAGAGAGCAAGAGAGAGGATAAAAAGAGAGAGAGGAAAAAAATGCATAGAAATAGAGTTTAAGAGAGATGCTATGTATATATATATATATACATACATACATACATACATACATACAGACAGACATACATACATGCATACATACATACATACATACATACATACATACATACATACATACATACATATGAGTGTGTATATATATATATATATATATATATATATATAATATATATTCATATCGGAGGTTGGGGGGTGAGATCGAAGTGGAACGGAGAGCCCCCCTACCGGGAAATCGATTTCGGTTTCGTGTTCGTGCGTGCCGTGCGTGCGGGCGAGGCGAAGCTGCGTGGGCGGGCGAGAGAAAGTTCCTGTGGCTGAGGCGCGGCCGGACCAAATGATTGCCGTCCGGGCGTCTGGGGGCCCGCGGTGTCCCGCCCGGTGTCCCGCTGGGGTCCCGTGTGGCTGAGGCGCGGCCGGACCAAATGATTGCCGTCCGGGCGTCTGGGGGCCCGCGGTGTCCCGCCGGTGTCCCGCCCGTGTCCCGTCGGTGTCCCGTCGGTGTCCCGATGATGATGATGATGATGATGATGATGATGATGATGATGATGATGATGATGATGATGATGATGATGATGATGATGATGATGATGATGATGATGATGATGATGATGATGATGATGATGATGATGATGATGATGATGATGATGATGATGATGATGATGATGATGATGTGATGGTGATGGTGATGGTGATGGTGATGGTGATGGTGATGGTGATGGTGATGGTGATGGTGATGGTGATGGTGGTGATGATGATGATGTTGATGATGATGTTGATGTTGTTGATGATGATGATGATGATGACGACCCGTGTTGTTGTTGATGATGATGGTGATCGATCGGGAGAGATCGATTGTGAAATCGATGGTGGGGTCCATTGTGAAATCGATTGAGTGAGACGTTGGGTCCGCCCCCCCGTCAACTTTCTTACCATTCAGGGATTTCGGCTCAAGGCTTCTGTTGCTTACACCTCCCGATGGCTGCCCTTGGGCAGGTTGGACAGGTTCCCAGGGGGAGGGACGAATGGTACAAAGGCGCCAAAGAACGAAGGGTGATGTAAACAACTCGACACCGACGCTCCCAAGAGCGAGCGGCAACGCAACACTCTCCATGGCATCGTCACAACAACAATCACAACTGTTGCCCATTGCTGGGACCCTCCCCCCCCCAACCTCCTTATCACCCGCAGGGTGGTCGTATAGGTAGGTTTATATCTACGTATAGGGAGAGAGGAAAAGAAAGAGAGAGGTTCAGAAAGAGGAAAGAGTGGAGGACGTCTGGATGGATGGCGGAGCAGGACTATGAGAGGGCAGGTTTAGCACGAGCACGAAGAGAAGGCAGAGGGAGAGAGAGAGAGAGAGAGAGCATTCGCCGCGCGCCTCGGACAGAAGCTCGCGGATCTCGTTCAGCGGCGCGTTCCTCGAGGCTGCTTCGCTGTGCTTCAACGCAGCAGAAATCCGAGCCCTGACCACACACGAGCGATGGAAGAGCTCGGGCTCCCGGGCTGGGCTGGGCGCTAGAACACCTCGGTTTCCGAACGCAAGTGTGCGTGGCCGACGCTTTCGGGAGGACACCCTGGGTAACAGGAAAGCAGGGCGTGCTCCTCTCCTGCTCTGGCATGTGATGATACCTCTGGAGACGAGGCAGACCCCAGGATGCCGATGTCGTTTCCACGCTCCTGCTCTGCAATGCGCCCGTCTAGCCAAGGGGCGAGCGAATCTGGACAAGCCGAAACGATCCTGACTAAGCTGGAGGAGAATCGAGAACGCAGCGGGACCCCAGCGATGCCCGACCACTCCTGGACTGACAAGCCAGCATCCTTTTGCCTTCCCCTTCGGAGGCGGGCCGGAACCCGATCTTGGGTCGCGGCTCCTGAGCTGGTGAATTCGCCCTCGGCCTTCCCGCATCCTTGGTTACCATCCTGCCGAGTCTGCCCCAATCCCGTTTCAACCAGCCAGGGGCAGCGGGCAGTCAAGAGGGAGTTCTGGCCATCGCTCGGACGTCCATTCCCTGTGTTTTTTCTCGGTTTCGTGCGTGTTTTTTCGCCAAATGATCAAGGATGCTCCTCGATGGTCCTCGCCGAAGGAAAAATTCACACGTCCGAGCGATGCCAAGAGTCTGCGTGGCGCCAGGGGAGTGCACCCAGGACCGCGGGTTCCCCGAATCGGCGCCGGAGGCCCCGCCAGGGAGGGCCCGGCGCCGACCTCCAGGAAATCTGCGCCGCAAGGCTCTGCTCCTGCAGCACTTTTCGGGGGCGGCCAAGAGGGGGGTGTCCAAGAGGGGGGGGTGCAAATCATGACGGGCGGCATCTGCGAACCCCAGCGGGGGGGCCAGGGACGCAGTGAAACAAGAAGAGGCGCCATGAAATCTGGGGAAATATCATGGCCCACGCCATGATATCCACCACCCCCCTAGCCATCACCCCCCTCTTTGCCGCCCCCGAACTTTCCCTCTTCGGAGGAGGCCTCCCAGCCCCGACCTGGCCAGCCCGGTGCGCCCCGCGGGCACGCGAGCACCCCGATCCCCGAGCCCCGAGCGGCCGCCCCCGAAGCCCCGACGAGATCCCGACCTGCTCGCCGCCGCAGGTCGCAGCCGCCGCCGGTCTCGTCGCCGCCGCCGCCGTCGTCACCACGGCCGTCGCCGCCTTCGATCTGATTTCGGGGGCGCGCGGGCATGGATGAGCGATCCATGGATTCGGCGCGCGGTCGCCAGATCCATGGGTCGGGGGAGGGGCCCTCCCCGAGATGCGGCCGGTGCCGCCTCGCTCGGCGGCGGAGATCCGCGATTGCCCATGGAAATAGGACCCGTCGCTAATGCACGCCCCCTTGATCCGTGCTTGCGATCGCCTGACAGACGCCAGGAGAACTTCTGAGACCCCGCCTCCTCGTGAGGCCCCCCCCTTCGCGCCACGACCTCGTGCTCGCCGCCGAACATCCCTCCTCTTCCATGCCTGCGATCGCCCGAGATCCGCGGCCCCCGACCCGCCATCGCTCGGACGTCCGCCCCCCGAGCATGTTCCCGCTCCCTGCGCTCCCTTGTCGCACGGGGGCCCGGGGTGCTCCCCGATGGCTCTCGCCGAGGGAAAACGCGATCTGGGATGGCGATTTGGGATGGCCCTGAGGTCGGAAGCCGAGATCGAGGAGAGATGCCCGGACGGGAAACAAAAAAAAAAAAAAAAAATGCCGTCGGAGATCTGGGGCCGCCGACGTCGCCGCCGCCGCGATCCGCCATCGGGCCCCGATCGGCAGGTCGTTGCTCTCCAAGCTCCGAAACGAGCGGCGTGCGGATCCCCCGATGACGATGATGACGATCATCATCATCATCATCATCATCATCATCATCATCATCATCATCATCACCATCATCATGATCATCATAATCATAATCATGATCATCATCATAATCATCATCATAATCATCATCATCATCATCATCATCATCATCATCATCATCATCATCATCATCATCATCATCATCATCATCATCATCATCATCATCATAATCATAATCATCATCATCATCATCATCATCATCATCATCATCATCATCATCATCATCATCACATCGTCATCGTCATCATCACCACCACACCACCATCATCATCACCATCAGCATCATCACCATCAGCATCAACATCAGCATCATCATCATCAGCATCATCATCATCATCAGCATCATCATCATCACCATCATCATCATCATCGTCATCGTCATCGTCATCATCATCGTCATCATCATCATCATCATCGTCAGCATCATCATCACCACCACACCACCATCATCATCATCAGCATCATCACCATCATCATCATCATCATCATCATCATCATCATCATCATCATCATCATCATCATCATCATCATCATCATCATCATCATCATCGTCATCGTCATCATCATCATCATCATCATCATCATCATCATCATCATCATCGTCATCGTCATCGTCATCATCGTCATCGTCATCATTGTCATCGGAAAGCGCCGCCCCGTCCTGATCCTGCTGCGAAGGTGCTCGTCCCGCGCGCGGCACTCCAGCAGCTGCGTGATGCGCACCTGCAGGCGCGTCAGCGACTTCGCCTGGGACTGGGGGCCCGTGGGCGAAGGGAGCAGCAAGGACCTCCGACGATGTGTTGCTTCAGCCCGGGCGTTTCTCCTCATTTTTCGGCCTCCGGGATCCATTACCGGGCCGGACCTCTGACGATCTGATTTTTGTTGGGAGTCCCGAAGCGGTGCGGTGACAGACCGTGCGGCGACCTCGAAACGCCAAGAGACATCACCGCACGGTCCGTCACCGCACGGTCTTGGGACCCCAGAGGCCCCTGTCGCCCGAGACGTCCTCGGAGAGGGACTCGGGTCCCAAAACCGTGCGGTGACCCCGCATCCCCACCGACTCACCGCACTGTGTGGTCACCGCACCGTCTGGGGGCCCCCGCATTTTTCAGCCCGGGCGTGTTTCCCTAGGTCGGCCTCCGGGATCCATTGCTGGGCCCCCGGGCCATCAGAAACGGAGCCGGGGCGAAGAAGTGCCCCCGGGGAAGAGGGCGGGGCCTCCGGGGCCACGGGTTCAAGACATCAGATCGGCGGATGTCCGGGAGTGAGGAGGAGAGATAGGCGGCGAGCGAGGGGGGGAAATGAGAAGGGGCGGGCCTTCTCGGAAGGCTCGAGAGTCTCCAAGCCTTCTGAGAAGTTTCCCAAGCCTTCCCCGAAGACAGGAAAAACTTCTCAGAAGGCGCGAGGGCTCCTGAGAAGTCCCGCCGCCTTCTGAGCAGGCCTTCTCCTTCTCAGTTCCCCCCCCCTCGCTCGCCGCCGAAGAGAAGTGGTGGGGGCGAGGAGGGGGGCGGGCAGCCGGAGGGTCGGAGGAAACAGAGAAGGAAGTGAGCGGACGACGGGCCAGGGAACAGAGGCGGGCAGGCGGAAGGGGGATGGCGAAGGCGGGCGAGCGGGGGAGGACGGAGGGCGACGCTCAATCCCGAGGGAGGGGTCCCAGCGCCTGGCCGTGGTTCACCACGAGATCGTCGGTCGACTCCTCTCCTGGACACGGTGTCTGCCGCCACTGCCGTCGCAACGCTGCTGGAAGTACCCAACTAAAGCGTTGCTTGGGCAAGCGTTCGCAACCTCATCCGACGCGCGTGCAACGTGCACGAGCAGACGTCAAGATATGGCACAGTGTCCAAGAAGCCGCTGACATGTATGTGACCGCTACACGTGTTTTACCTGGTCTTCTAAGCACGCAGATGCATGTTTGATGCGCAGATGCGTTTAGCAAGGGACGGCGATCCCCTGTACTGTCGCCACCGACGGGGAAGCAGCAGGACCCACCTTAAGCCTGTGCGCGCCCCGCTATTCGTCCATCAGCACGCTTCACAGGATGGCACGTGGGTGAGAAACGACAGTTCTGCACAGCAGTTCTGACGTCGCCGCCCGCTGCACCGATCTCGAGCAGCTGCTGATTCAGCATCGGCGGGCGGTGCGCCACGACCACCCTTGGCACAGGCTGCGCGCACACCATCGAGCAGCGGGCACAGCGCAACGGCCCCCACGTCGCGCGGGAGGAGGAGGAGGGGGAGGAGGAGGAGGAGGAGGAGGAGGAGGAGGAGGAGGAGGAGGAGGAGGAGGAGGAAGAGGAGGAGGAGGAGGAGGAGGAGGACCTCCTCATCCTCCCTTCTCCCCCGTCCTACATGTGGCAACGGTGGTGGAAGGTTTGCCCTCTCAGTCGCAGGTGCTGGAGCGCTCGCGGCCGCTGGCCGTGCGCCTCTCCTGGGGGCTCGGGCCGCCAGGCCCTGCCAGCCTGCACCACGGAGGAGGCCGCGGCTGCCCAGGGCCGGAAGGATGCGTCGCAGCGCCGGCGCAGGAAGCGCGCGGCCGCGGCGCGCTGGCAGCTGGTGGGGGGCCTCAAGGTCGGCAGACGAGTGCGTCAAGCTGCGGCGCTGAGAGGCCCTTGACAACACTGAAGACTTGTGTGGGCGATGTTGGACAGCAGCGCATGTTTCTGCGTGTTGGGGCGCCCTTTTTGTACGTTCTCGGGTCCCAAATCGGCCCGTGGCCCACCTGCCCGACTTCTTTCCGTGTTCATTGCGCTTTTTACCAAAACCAGAAAAGCACAAAAACAAAAAACAAACAGAAACAAAAACAAAACAAAAAAACGGAACGATCATGCCCCAAGCGCTTTCAAGAGCAGCTAAGGTCGCACATATACACCGCATGCAACCAAATCAGTTCTGCAAGCTTTTCCCTCTGACCCGGAGTTGGGCGGGCAGGGTGTCACCAGGACATCTGGAGTCAGATTTCATGGCCAAAGCACCTTGATTGTAGGTCGCTCGCGCACTGCTGCCATACGCGGTTCGATATGACTGAAAAGCCCGACTGGCGAAACAACCGACAAACTGTTTTTTGCACCTTGAAGTTGCCACCGCAAAACAAGTACAGGCCTCAGAAACCGCCGCAGGTCGGTGATAGATGCCCGAAATAGCGCGGGTGCCTCGCTGACAAGTGGCCTCCGGTGTGCAGAAGGTGGGCCTGGCGCCCGACCGTGTAGTATTCCTGACCCCGCCTCGGGACTCCCGCTCTTGGATCTGGCCCAGCTTGGCCCAGGTGCCAGAGACGTCTCAGTGCAAGCCACCCTGGGCGTCTCGGCGTGCCTTTCCGGTCGCGAGGCTACCTGGAGGCCCCTTGATCTCGCACACATTGGAGACGCCCTGATGAGCTCCCGGTGTGCATTGGAGCGGCGATCGTCGGACCCTGCTAGGCCCGCAAAATTTTACATTCAGATCAAACATCTTTCAGAAAATCCTCCGGGAAACCTCCCAACTCGGGTGTTTTTCGGTGGGTTGTTCGGGTTTAGTTGTAAAGGTTTTTGTTCGGGATTCGTTTCAGGGGGGGAACCCCCGAAACAAAAAAAACAAGACAAACAAAACAACTATGTTTTATTGCTGGGTTTTCGGGGTTTCTCGAACACCGCACTTAAAAGCAAGGCTACTTCAGAAAAACATCCCCATTCGGAAGTTGTTCGGTGTTCTTTCAAGGGTCCTGGGGCCCCACACTTGAAAACAATACTATTTCTGAAAACCCCTCGGGCACCCCCTCGGGGGGCCCACAATTAGTATTTTTGAAAATCTCCCGGAAATCCCCCAACTCGAATGTTTTTCTGAGGTTTCCTGGCCCCATACATTAAAACAATACTGTTTCTGAAGACGCTGCCCGACAACCCCCAGAAAACGACCCCAACCCGACGGTTGTCTAGATTTGTTATGGAATTTCCTGGGAGGGGGGAACCGCGAAAAACCTCCCAACTTTAAGGTTTGTCGAAAGTTGTCCCGGGGGGAACTTCCGAAAAGCCCCCCAATTCTGATGTTTCTCTTGTTTTTCCCCAACCCTCCTCGTCCTTCCTTCCTTCCTTCCTTCCTTCCTCCCGCCTTCCTCCTGGGCTGCGATCTGCGACACTGTCGCCACTTTCGAGGGCTGCTGGTGGGTCCAGCGGAGTGAGGCACCGCGCAGACCTCAGCGGGACCTCGCCGTCCCTGGGGGGCTGCGATCTGCGACGCCGTCGCCACTTTCGAGGGCTGCTGGCGGGTCCAGCGGAATGAGGCACCGCGCAGACCTCAGCAGCCCTCGCCGTCCCTGGGGGGCTGCGCTCTGCGACGCCGTCGCCACTTTCGAGGGCTGCTGGTGGGTCCAGCGGGGTGAGGCACCGCGCAGACCTCAGCGGGACCTCGCCGTCCCTGGGGGGCTGCGACCTGCGACGCTGTCGCCACTTTCGAGGGCTGCTGGTGGGTCCAGCGGAATGAGGCACCGCGCAGACCTCAGCGGGACCTCGCCGTCCCTGGGGGGCTGCGATCTGCGACAGTGTCGCCACTTTCGAAGGCTGCTGGTGGGTCCAGCGGAGTGAGAAACCGCGCAGACCTCAGCGGGACCTCGCCGTCCCTGGGGGGCTGCGCTCTGCGACGCTGTCGCCACTTTCGAGGGCTGCTGGTGGGTCCAGCGGAGTGAGGCACCGCGCAGACCTCAGCGGGACCTCGCCGTCCCTGGGGGGCTGCGATCTGCGACAGCGTCGCCACTTTCGACGGCTGCTTGTGGGTCCAGCGGAGTGAGAAACCGCGCAGACATGAGCGGGACCTCGCCGTCCCTGGGGGGCTGCGATCTGCGACTCTGTCGCCACTTTCGAGGGCTGCTGGTGGGTCCAGCGGAGTGAGGCACGGCGCAGACCTGAGCGGGACCTCGCCGCCCCTGGGGGGCTGCGATCTGCGACGCTGTCGCCACTTTCGAGGGCTGCTGGGGGGTCCAGCGGAGTGAGGCACCGCGCGGACTTCAGCGGGACCTCGCCGTCCCCGGGGGGCTGCGCTCTGCGACCCTGGAGGGCTGCGATCTGCGACGCCGTCGCCACCTTCGAGGGCTGCTGGCGGGTCCAGCGGAGTAAGGCACCGCGGAGACCTCAGCGGGACCTCGCCGTCCCTGGGGGGCTGCGATCTGCGACGCCGTCTCCACTTTCGAGGGCTGCTTGTGGGTCCAGCGGAGTGAGGCACCGCGCAGACTTCAGCGGACCTCGCCGTCCCTGGGAGGCTGCGCTCTGCGACACCAGGAGTTAAGCTGAGGATTAGCAGTAGTATCCTAGCCCCGTCGCAGATCCAGCGTAGACCTCTCCATCCAGGGGAGACGGACTGCGATCTACGAAACTGTCGCTGGGTGCAGGGGAAGTTGCGGAGGGTCACCCTAGCGGCGCCCCGCCGCGGGTTCAGAAAATGCGTCGTCGCGTGGGAATTCTGGTTCGAGGGAGCCATGCCATGTCGTTGCTGCCCCGCCGACGTTTCAAGCCGATTGCCCGCCTTCTACGTGTGTACCTTGCCGTAATGACTCTGGGATTCACTTGGTTTACTCATCTCTACTACGCGTTGTCCCTTGATCGGAGACCTGCGAACCTCCCGAATACCGCTCGCAGAAGTATACGAGTCCATGCCACGTCGTCGCCCTCTCATCAAATCTCCCAAACCCCTCCTGCCCTGCACTGCGCAGGGGTTGGGTACGTCGCCAGGGTAATGTCGAAGGTCCTGGGCCCCCACGACAAAAAACAATAATAGATCGGAAAACACTCCAGAAAACATGGGAAAACCTCAAACTCTGGAGTGTGTCGGGTGATTTTCGGGGACCCTGGGGCCCCACAATTAAAAACAAGATTAGTCCTGAAGACCCCCCGGACTACCCCCGAAACACTCCCAACTCGGTGGGTGGTTTTTCGGGAGTTCTGGGGCCCCACAATGAAAAACAAGGTTAGTTCTGGAAAAAAAAAACGGGGCACCCCCGAAAAACCTTCAAAAATTCTGATGTCTTTCTGAAAAACGAAAATATGTCTGAAAACCTATCGGACAAACCCCGAAAAAACCTCCCAACTCGAAAGTTGTTCGTGTTTGATTCGAAGGTCCTGGGGCCCCACAAGCAAAAACAAAACTATGTCTGAAGACCCCCCCGGACAACACCCGAAAAACCTCCCAACTCGGGAATGGTTTGGGGTTGTTCAAGGATTCTGGGGCCCCAGAATTAAAAACAAAAAGATGTCAGAAACCTCCCCAGGAAACCCCCGAAAAAAACGCAACTCGGATGCTTGTTTCCACTTTCTGTCTGTGGTCACTCAGTGCGTTCTCGTGTATTTTCTGGAGGAGGGAACCCCTGAAAAACCTCCCAACTCGGAAGTTGTTCGGTAGTTTTTCGAAGGTCCTGGGGCCCCACAATTGACACAATACTATTTCTGAAGACCCCCGGACAACCCCCGACCAAAAAACTATGGTTGTTCTATGTTTATTCGGTGGTGCTGGGCCCCACACTTGAAAAAATACGATGTCTGAACCGCACACGGAATAACTCAAAAAAAAAAAAAAAAAAAAAAAAAAAAAAAAAAAAAAAAATGGGTGTTGTTTCTCTGTTTCGGGAGTTCTTGGGCCCCACAATTTAAAACAATCATATTTCTGATAACCTTCTAGAAAACCCAGTAAAAATCAGTGGTGTTTCAAGTATTTGTTCGGTTGTGTTTGAACGGTTCTGGG